TTTGGTGTCGAAGACTACAATATTATATAATTACGTGGGTAGAACATTATATAATATTTTTATTGATGAAATATTATTGAATTTATCGATTAAAAATGAATACTTTTATAAAATATATAAAAAAAGAAAAAAATTTACGGGAGATTGAGATTGAGATTGAAATAGGTAACTGGGATAGGGACGGAAAGGAGTTATGTGTCCTTGATCGTCCCGTCCCGTGGACATTGCTAGAAAGAAGTTAAAATGACAAATTTAATCGACTTACTTCAAGGTCGTCATTTTCATTTGTTTGAATTCAATTCAGTTCATGAATATGGATTAGGGAATCGATTCACGATACGTTGATCTCTCACCATCAATCTAACACGACCGAATCTATTTTTCACGTCGAGGGACAAAAGAGTCATTGCTTAAAGTAGGATGTAGGGGTTTGTTGTAGGCTATGGAAGTGTATAGAGAGGAGGGAAAAAGAAATAAGTTTGGGAGTAAGTCAAAATTTTGTTTTGGGATGGAAAATTGTTTGGTTGTGATGATTAATGGGTACACTACACGTGAATAGGTGGGTACATATGCGGTTTGTTTGTGTGCTATCAAGACAGCTGGGTTTGGAGTTATTTTATTATTTGTTATTTTTAAAAAAATTACACAAAAAAAACGTTCTAACAACATATCTCAATCAAACATTTACATCGATTAAAATCATCGGATGTGACACTCGAGTAAAAGAACTGTACGTAAATGAACCAAGACCACATCTAAATGAGAGCGGTCGTAAGGATAAGGAAACTTCATAGTTAAACGTGTTTTGTTGAAAGCAGTTGTACGTTGGGTGACCTACATTCTCAAAATGCATGTGATTGAGGACAAAACATGGCGGAAGAACCGTGTTGGTCTGTGGAGATAGTCTTCACTTTTAAAAGTGAGGAGTAGATAATATGATCATGTCAAAGGGGATTGTTAGAATCGTCTGAAGCTGAAGTTAGTAACGTCTCTCCCTTCATTCAGACAGTGGAGCTCTTGAATATCTAACTCGTCTTGAAACCTTAAAAATGATCTTTTGGGGTCGAGTATTTCACTTGAAGCTAAGAAGGCAATCAAAAAGTTTCACTTAGTATATTCTCTTTAAAATTTAAAACATCGAGACAATATGAATATATCTCAATAGTTAAAACATTACAAATTACTTGGAAAGGATTAGTTTCGAAGGAGATCATGGTCATGCTCGTTCAGGGTGTGTTGTTTATGGTCACATGTCCTTCTCAAAATTGGCTTGAGCATAAGTTGACCGATAGTAGACGAGCAAATCTAAATTGGCTTGATTCACTCGATATTGGAAGTGAGTGTTTGCATAATCGCAAAGTTAGCTTACAAGAAAAGTGCGATTGTAATAAAAGGTGTAAAAATCGGCACGTGCCAAAGGAGAGTTGGAATTTTAGGCCAAAGCCAAAGGTGTTCAGTGGAGGAATCTGCGCATGACGTGGAGTTTGGCGTTTGTTTGTTCAAATGGTATTTAGCTGTCAATACCCCAACCTCCCCCTGCCCAAACTGACCGAAAATCCTCTCTCTCTTCTAATTTTCTCTCTCTATTCTTCAAAAATCACCTTATCATTTTTAAATTGGTTAAATTAATATTTTTTTAATATATTTTAATTTTATGTTTTCAATAATAATAATAATAACAATTTCTAAGAAATTTTTATTTTAAAAAATGTTAACAATAAACTAACCTATCATTGAAAAGATAAAAAGAACTAAAATTAAATATTTGAAATTATATAAATTAAATATAATTAATAGAGACCAAAATGATATTTCAAATTAAAATTTTTAATTGGGTTCATTTTTTTTAAGAAATTAACTCATTTTATCACCCTTAAATTAAATTTGTGTCGAATAAGTTAGAGAAATTTTACAAATGTCAATTAGATTAGTGACCTATTAAATACAAAATCAAAAATTTAAAGACCGTACCCAAAATTAAAAGTTGAACTAGTTATCAGAGACTTTAAAAACTTATTTATCATAAAATTAAAAGTTCACGTAAATAAAACATGACTCAAAAAAAAATTTAGAAACTAAATTTGTTATTTAACTTTTAAAATATTATATCACAAATTAGGAGTATATCTGAGTTGTGTTGAGAAAATCATCCGATCAACTCAAAATTTTGGGTTGGTTAGGTTAGTGATCCAAGTAATCCAAACAGAATTCACTCGGCAACTCTCTATTTTCAGGTTATATTTTTATAATTATTTTAAAAAATTATATTTATCAACGATAAGTTGTTACATTAATAACTAAAATTTTATAAAAATCGAATATTAAACATTCACAAGTCACTAGCAACCGTAACCAACTCTAAATATTCTTAATCTTCATAATAATTTTAAAAGTTGAGTATGGTTGAGGTGAATTGTAACTTTATTCTTGAGTTGGTCGAGTTGATCAGGTTGACCCAACTAAAAAATTGTTAATCCACGAACCACGAATTTTCAAATTTTCAAAAATTCAACTTAAAAAAATAAAAATAAATAATAATAATAATAATAAGGAAAAGTAATCAACTAATTTTTTTAAAAAGTAAAAAAAAAAATAATAATTAGAGGGGGAAATTAGATTGGGAAAGCGAAAGAAAGGGCAATCACGTAAATATCTTCAAAGTAAGTACAAAAATTGAATTTCCCAAGTGAAACAGAAGCACTCGTGCAAAAGGGGAAAAATATTATATATATATATATAAAAATAAATAAATAAATAAATAAATAAATAAATAGAAAATGCAAATATAAATGAAGAGGAACTCGTGGTCTGCATTTTTTGCAAGAGCTGATCGGCAAGAGAAAGAAAGCAAAAGCCTGTGGTGGAGCGTGGCCGGCGAGTGGAGGAGACCGGAGGACGGCGGCTCTGAAATGGGTTCGAGAGAGCGAAAGAAAGCAGCAGCATCTTCCTCAATGAATCATGAGAAGCCCACAGAATTTGATGCATCCACAAGCTCTAGTGCTGTACTTTTCCCATAACTCACTTTTCCTTTTGAATTTCATGCTTTTTTACTCGAGATTTTCAACTATTTTTTCCGAGTGCCACGCTCGGTTGTACCTATCGGCGGATTGACTCTATCGAACGTGCAGGTGGTGAATGTCGAGAGTTTAGTGAGAGGATTTCTCATAAACGTATATGTGGAAAAGAATTCACCCGGATTGTTAGTTCGGATTCTAGAAGCCTTCGAAAAATTGGGACTCGAAGTCCTCGATGCTAACGTGTCTTGTTCCGATTGTTTCCAACTCCAAGCAGTAGGGGAAGAGGTTCGAGTTCCGTATCTTAAGCTCGCTAACATGAACATAACCCAACGATTAAAACTTCAAATTCGCTTTATTTTGTTGTGCAGAATGAAGACACCAAAATGGTAAAGCCCCAAGTGGTGAAAAAAGCAGTAAAGCAAGCAATCAAGGAATGGAGTGAAAGTAACGGGCAGACATGATTCATGTATACTTAAATCGTAGTACGTGTTTCTACTCGACGTGATTCGGAGTTCATGTTTTTACTAAGCACGATCTCTAATCGATGATATACATATCATAACGTACGTAACTAAGAAAACGTAAGATTTTGTCAAGAAATATTGTTTAAATCATCAATGTATTCGCACTAGAAATGTCAATTTTCTTACCAGTATTTTTTTTTCGAGTGTAAGTATGATCTTATTTGTATAATATTTTGGTTCAAATATTTGTTCGTATAGAAGGAGTCGTTTTCATTGTTACCATACTCGGTGTTAAAATTAAGTCAGCCTTTTAGGGTAAGATCTTGGAGCCCGTCCATAATGATTCAAGTTGATTTAGAGTAGAGCATAAACCTAGAAGTATTGAAGAAAGCCATTCGAGCCGTCGGTTATTGATTTCAATCCACGATAAAATTTTTTATTTTTTTTATTTTTTTGGTTTAGGGTTTAATAAAAAATACTTTATAGACGTCACTGTGAGCATAGCCCAATAGTAATATACCATCGATCGTATATATATTTCCATAAAACTAATAATTTAGTATTTAAATTTATGTTTATAATATTTTAAGTCTAGTATGTATTAATTTAGTTATTGAATTTTAATATTTATTGTAAAAGTATTATTGATATTTAATAAATTTTCTTTTAGATATATAAATCAATAAATTAATTAGAGTAAATGCATTTTTATGTTATACCTTACTGTAAGAATTATATGTTACTAATTTCAAAATATTATTAGTTTCATGAATAAATTATTACGAATTAAAATTTAGTAAATAAATTATTAATTACATAACTAAAAAAAAAAAAAAGTGTTTTTTATTTAATTTTATTATATCTTCAATATTCGGCAACCACTAGATCGGTCCAAAAGACCGGCCCAACAATGAATTTAAACTTCAACTTCGAGGGCTTTGAGTTTCGGATGGTTTGATCGTGTGAAACCGGCTCCTAAGGATCCGATCTACGGTGCGACGGAGGCTTACATGGCCGATCCATGCACGAACAAAATCAACCTTGGAGTGGTAATGATTAAACTCTGTTTTTTTTTTATTGTTTTCTTTTGAATTCGTGGAAAGTGTTCGTGTTTTTGGTTTTTGAATTAATTACTTTGGAAGGGAGCTTATCGGATCGATTAGGGGAAACCGGTTGTGCTTCAATGTCTTGGAGATGCTGAATCGAAGATTGCCGGAAGTGAGTTCTTGTAAGTTCCAATGCTTAGTTTCCTGCTGAGTCTTGCATTCCATGCTTTCGAATTTTAGAGAGTGAATTTCTGCTGCGGTGAGTTCAATATTTGTGGATGAGTGTGTTAAGTTGATTTATGGAAAGGATTCAAATGTTACAAAGGAAAGGAGATTTTCTGGAGTTCAGGCACTTTCTGGGACTGGAACGTGCCGACTGTTTGCTGAATTTCAGATCCATTTCCATCGTGATGTTCCAATGTTCTTGCCCGAACCAACTTGGTCTAAGTAAGTTTCCACTTGCTTTCAAGTATTTTTGCAAACATATACTCGGGTAACAAAGAAAACGCATACCTAGTTTAGATCACTGTTATAAATAATTTGTTAAAATCAATGACAAAGAATAAATGGACTTTTCTAAGAATGTTTTAAGGATGTGATCTTGATAAATGTTCTCCTACGATGGCCAGGAACCACGAACCTCTAAGATGGTATGATATTGTCTACTTTGAGTATAAACTCTCATGGTTTTACTTTTGGTTTTCCCAAAAAGCTTCATACTAATGGAGACGTATTTCTTACCTATAAACCCATGATCATTCCCTTAATTAGTTAATGTAGGACTCGCTCCCAACAATCCTCAACAGTTAGTTCTTATTTGATTTAAAATTCTCCCGAATGTTCTTTCTTTTTGCTCCATCCTTGTGCTCACAACCGAACACATGAACAATGGCGAGAAATTTCGAACCAATTAATGTGGTTGCAAATAATTTGATGTTACGCGTTAACATTGCATGATGATGGAGAGAATGATGTGACTTGACTCCAACTCGTGACATATCACTTTCCCTTTGTTTGACATGGAGATCTTGAAGGGATGCCAAAGTTAGGGAGCAACCCGTCGTTTCTGGACAAGCTTCTATCAGGCCCACCACTACATAAATAAAGAGATCCATATACCAGTCATGAGCGATAGCGAAGCAGTCTAAGGCGCAAGGTAGGATCGAAGAGCTTAGTGGAAAACACTCAGGAAAGGAGCAGATCAGGGGTTGTGTGCCCTCTGCCCCATCTTACTAATAATAATGAAGGGCTTTGATGCCAGCAAGCACCCTTGTTATTGTTGGAGAGTAGGGTTCCAAACCTTGTTAGCTTTTTATATGATAAGCTCCCCTTTCTCTAATAATGAGATAAACAACCCTTCCTTCAACAGGGTTTGGCTTGCCCCTTGTATAGGTTGGAGATATGGTGGTAGGTTGTGCTCAATCATTTGCGAAGAATATGGGTTTATATGGACACAGGGTTCGTTGTCTAAGGTCAGTATCTATTGGCTGAACTCTAGATTGCTATCAGTAAGGAAATATTGTGTAGTGTGAATAATTGTCTTGCGTTTAATCGAAGTGTTGCAGTACTTGAAATCTTAATTGGGTTTCTTAGTTACTAGATAAGGGTCAGCATGGTCTTATTTTTCTTACTTTATGATTGTGTTGCAGTACTTTAAATCTTGATCTCTGCCTCTTGCCTTCCTTGTATTCTGACATTACATCTATTTGTTCAACTTTTTCCCCCATTTTGTAGTGTTCTTGGCAAAGTTCAACAGCAAGCCATGATAGTAAGATCTCAGCTTCAGCGACTGGCCAGGGCAATGTATAGCAGCCCTCTCATTCGTGTGAAGGCTGAATGGATTGAAGAACTGAAGGTAATGGATGAATATTTTGTAAAGTCTTTTCTTGATTTCTTGGAGGATATAGATTGTGAGATCCCGCACTAGTTGGAGAGGGGAACGAAACATTCCTTATAAGAGTGTGGCCCTAGTACACGTGTTTCAAAACCGGGCAGTGAGCCAATGAGGATGCTGGGATATTGGGCCCCAAGGAGAATTGTGAGATCCCACATCAGTTGGAGAGGACGGCGTTTTAACCCACCTCCCCTATTTAGTCCACTCCCACACGCATTTCACTCAAAGGCTCCAAACCGACTTCTCTCTCTTTCCCCTCTCACACTCCAAAAATAATAATAATAATGAATGGCTAGAGATCTAGGGCTTCTTTGAGATATTGGTTGCATTCCAGCTCTTTGATTTCTTTCCAGCTAAACTAATGTCCTGTCACATGTCCATATTTTCAATCAGTATGAATTCTTTGACGCATATTTCATATCATTAAAATAAGATTATATCACGAAATTCATATGGCACATACAAAACTAATGACATCTTGGAAGGTCTATGATGAGAATGTTCAAAGGCATTGAGACATAAATTGTTATTTAGGTAAAGACTGAGTGGAAAAAATTGTGATAAAGCTGTTTAATATTTGTTTATTTACCAATTGTGACAGATGCAGGTCGGAATGGTTTGCTATTCTGGTTTAAACTGTAAGCAGATTGATCTGCTGGCTAGAGATTTTGGTGTACATATGAACAGGGATGGACATGTGAGGTACCTCTAAAACTTTATGTTAGGCTGCATTAAATTTGCATCTTTGATTGGCTGGACGATGATTTATGTTTTAGTTAACTGAGCAAAATTTGTTTCTTTGATTTATTATCTTTGGGCAGCCTGGCAGGTATAACGACAAGAAATGTTTATTACTTACGTAGAGTATCAAGTTAGCAATTATGATCTAAAATACTTAAACGTCTCTAGATGTATTTGATGACATTTTGTTGTTCAATTTGAAGATGATACGAAAACTCTAGCCAATTGAATCTAGGAATTCTTATGGATACATGAACCCTCGGATCACAAATGCCACAACCCTCCCAATCAAGGTGATTTCATTACATAAGATAGAAAATTTTCACCTCATTCCAATAAGATATGAGATTTTCGGGTGAAAAACAAGATCTTTACATTTAAGATATTAGGTATTCTCAAAATGAAAAGGCATCATTTCTCAGAGATATGAATATTTGGATTATGTCGTTGATCAAATAAGATAAAAAAAAAAAAAAAAAAAAAAAAAAAAAAACTTTAAAATTGACCTAGTCAAACTTATATGAGTTTAATCTGCCACTTAAACTATATAAAATTATAAAGAAACTAAGTTATTGTTAAGAGAAAGTACTAAGCTCTTTTTATTATATTTTCCACCTTTATCTCATGAAGGCAACAACAAAAAAAAATTTAAATAAAAAGAACTAAAAATATACTAATGAAACACCGAATAATATTTAGGTTTCAGTCCTCCACCCAAAAGTTTATAACCATCCAAGAAAAAATGGAGGCTCACTTAAAGTAGCTTGAGTCTATTGTCCAAGCTGGATTCTTTCTTTACTATAACATTATCGACAACTTGAGTTCAAGTTTGATGAAACTTGACTTTATTTAATGTGATTAGAATCTATCTTGTGGTAATTTGATTGATACCTTTTCACTATGAAATTTATATTCACTAATTGAGATATTTTGATTCATATCATGGTTTGGTGAATGAAGACTTAAAAGAAAAATTGTTCTGTAAAGCTAATTGAATTGCCTTTTAAACCAGCCGAATTTAAAGTGACATGAATGATCAATTCTTCTAGTTTTTAACTTTTTTATTATATTCAAATGATTATAAATGAGCTTTTAGTGTTTGATATTAATGTATATAGTGTTGGTATAATAAAATTAAAGTGTAACATAGTAATGGGTAGTTGAAAATTTTCATACCACTCTTAATTACATTGAACCAAAATTATTTATTTTCTAAAAGAATTTAAGTCTGTGGGACCAAAGAAAGAATCTGTTATAGGTTGATGTAGCATGGAGTTAAAGTCCGTGGTACCAAATCATAGAAGTCACTAGGATGTCATTATATTAAGTGATTTAATTAGTCTATCTTTTCATTTTAAGGAACTGAAAATACATTTTTATGAAATAGAATCTACGTGAGATCTTACATTAGTTGGAGATGAGAACAAAATATTCCTTATGAGAGTGTGGAAACATCTTCTTAGTATACGCTTTTGAAACCGTGAGGTTGACGGCGATACGTAATGGACAAAAGTAGACAATATTTGCTTACAATGAGCTTGAGTTGTTACAAATGGTATTAGAGTCAGGCATTGAGCGGTGGGCTAGCAAGGATGTTGGGCTCCCAACGGAGTGGATTGTGAGATCCCACATCGATTGGAGAAAGGAACAAAACATTTGTTATAAGGGTGTGAAAAATTTGAAAATTACTATCCATTCTTATTTAAAAATTTGAAAATTCACTGTTGAAAAATTAAATATGTTTATGTAACCGATACCTATTTGTATAATAATATTAGTAAAAAGTACATTCCATACCATTACCTTTTAATAAATTTTATTATAGTTTTAAATTTAAAAATTGTTTTTAAAATAATTTTTGGTTAAACAGTTTAATAACTCGAAAAATTTGATGAGTTGTATTCAAATAAATGAAAGTTTTATGGCTCGTGTTGAACTGAGTTAACAAGAATTTATTGTTAATTTGTATATTTATAATTGAAATTTATCAATATTCACCTTATCTAATAGAATTTAACCTTATCTTCTTACACCTGTGCCCTCGATCAATAGCCAAATCTAGGAGGGTGTTTTTGTCCTTAAATTTTCATTTTTAATGTTCGGTTTTTAGAATAATTTTGATAAATTAATTTTTAAAATGATAATTAATATTTTTGTACCCGCTTAAGTGTGTTTCACTTAAGCTGAATTATATAATGAGACTATTCCATCTTTCCAATTAATAACTAATAAATTTTTAATAAGAAAATTATCTAAACAATAAGATAAACTATAAATTTAATTTATAAAATTTAATAAATTTCTAAAATTTTAAATTTATATCTGTAAATTTTTTATAATTTTATTTTTGAATCCAATAAAATTTTAAATTCGGTGTTTAATAGATTTAAAAAAGAAATATGGACGGTTAGGAAATTAATAGAAAAAAAATTAAAAACTTTATTTATATTATATATAATTATAATGGTAAAATTAGATTTCTAGAAACAATGAAAAAAAGTGGTAATTATTCCTAAAAAGAGTTTTAATGCGACAGGGAATATAGATGTATTAAATTGCATAGCTAAACTAGCATAAACATGCTTTAGGTTTAATTATTATTATTAATTTTTTACAAATTTAATTATTTCAAATGAACAGAATCATGATTCTAAAGCTTTCTTCTCCGATTCCGATTCCGATTCAGAAACTATGAAGATTATCAATCTCACAGCCACAGCGGCCAATTATCTGCCGATGCCGAAACAAAGTACCGAACCGGTGGCCGCCGCCGCTTTCTCCTTCGAATGCGAGATTCCGCTCGGTAACCGTCGCGGAAAACGGCGTCCGGCGGCCGAGTTGAACATCGATCCGGAAGACGGCAATGACGCCGATTTGGAAAATGGCGGCGTCAACAGATCGTCGATTTTCCTCTTCGGATTAAAGAAGATGTGGAAAAGCGAGAGCGATTTGGATCGCTTCTTCGGCGGTTTCTTAAGAGAATCGGAAAAGTAAGAAGGAGGAGGAGTGAGAGGAGGAGTTAGGTCATCGGAAAATCGGTGAATAGGCGTACCTGGCTGAGACTCCCAACCGAAGGGAACAGCGCAGGCCAATCCGGCATAGTAGACTCTGGAAGAGTAATCGGCTCTAGAACTTTCTCTGGTTAGAAGCTTGGAGAAGAATTTGTCGTTGTGCTTGATCTGAATCGATTGGTGGAGATTATCGGAGGTTTCGCAGAGCATAATTGTAAGTTTCTGAACACGAAATCTCTGAATCTGCGATCTCTGATTCTTCTCTCTCTCTCTCTCTCTGTTTGTTCTTTTGTGCGAAGGCCATTCATTAGGGTCCCTGAAACTGTTCATATATGTGCCTCTGCACGGCCTTTGTCCCCCCTTGGAAAAAGTGTTTTTTCTTTTTCTTTTTTCTTTTCCCGGTTACTTTAAATAAATAATTTTAATTTTAATAATTTTAGGCTGTAAATTATGGGCTATATTTTTTATTGGATTATTCTTAATATTTGAAAATTATTAGTGTAATATTAATCATTAGGATTATTATTTTATTTTGGGATAGAGAAAATCTTACATTTATATATTTAAATTAATTGAATTATGTTCCTGTTCGTCAAAATATTTGAATTCATTTTTAAGAGGTGGATAAAAGTTTTTTTAGAAGATTCCTAACTTTCTAGAGATGATTTGAAACGGCCAAGATCCACCACTAGCAGATATTGTTTCTTAGGGCTTTCACTTTCGGGCTTCCCTTCAAGACTTAAAAACGAGTCTGTTATGGGAAGGTTTCCACACCCTTACAAATGGTGATTTGTTCTCCTCTCCAACTAGTGTGGGACATCACAATCCCACATTGAGGGGAAGCCCGAAAGATAAAGCCCACAGAGGACAATATCTCCTAGCTGCAGATCTTGGCCATTTGTTTTGAAAACTTTGAGGGGAAGCTTGAGAGGGAAAGTCCAAAGAGGACCATATATATTAGCGGTATACTTGTGGTGTTACAAATGGTATAAGAGCCAGACACTAGGTAGTGTGCCAGCGAGGACGTTGGGCCCCCAAAGAGGTGAATTATGAGATCCATATCGGTTGGAGAGGAGAATGAAACATTTCTTATAAGAGTATGAAAATCTCTTCCTAGCATATGCGTTTTAAAAACCTTATGGGGTAGTTTGAAAAGGAAAAGCGTAAAAAGAACAATATCTGCTAGCTGTGGACTTGTACGGTTACAAATGACATTAGACGTAGATACAGAGCAGTGTGCCCGCGAGGACATTGGCCCCCAAGGGGGGTAGATTGTGAGATCCCAGATGGGTTAGAGAGGAAACAAATCATTTCTTATAAGGCTGTGAAACCTATCCTTATATTAGACAGTTTTTTAAAACTTTGAGGGGGAAGCTCGAAATGGAAGGTCCAAATATGACAATATCTGCTAGCTAGTTAGAAGACACAAGGGTCAATCCCACATGACTATGACTATATAGTGAGTTTATATAGCAAGGTATATTAAGAGTCTAGGTGGATTGTCTGAACCTAGATGAACTCAATCAGTGTGATAAGTTAAAAGGAGCTAAATTGAATAAGACCAATGATTCACGGGTGCTCGCTAAACGATAGGAACCCAATCATTGATATGAACCGAGTGTTTTTTAAGGTAGTACCCCAATCACGTACTCGTGTACATGGGCCACAATGAAACTAAATGGTGGTCTATTATGACCCTATTTTTAAGAATTAGTTTCATAACTATTTAATATATATATATTCTTTAATTACATATTTATTTTTTAAAAAATACTGATTTTTGTAAAGGTGATTTTATGAATCATGGAGGAAAAAATTCCCGACAAGATCTAAAGGAATCAAAGATATTTTCAAAGTGGGCCGAGTAGTTTTTTTCTATAGGCCCACTAGCTTCCATGACAATGGTTGCTTTATATATACTGGGCCAGATTGGGCTCTGAATGGATCACAATGGAAACTCAATTAAATTTATAAAAAATGTAAAAAATATTTATATAAATATTTTTAAAATTGGTGTTGCAATATGGTTTTTATGAAATTGACCAATATTTTAAAATTATTTTATATTTGGGTATATATGAAAATTTGTTAATTCACGATAAAACTCGAGATTGAAGATAATCAAAAGAGTTATATGAGACGTTTCAAACCGAGCTAATTTGACAAGAAGCTGGAATATTTGAAATTGTTTCATAAAATTCTAGTAACGTTAATTGTCCAACGCTCACAGGTTAAGGTTTTAGGGCATACAGATATAAATTTCCGTATGTTCGTATGTTATCAACAATGGAAATGAATGATTTACCAGACAAAGAAATAAAAATCTGATTAACGGCGAGCCGAAATGGAAATTAAATTTAATGATAAAAATATTTGTAATTTTTTTTAAAAAAATTAAAATTATTATTGGAACTTTTTAAAATTTATGAATAATAAATGTGTTTTTATTATTTTAACCTAAAATAAATAAAAAAAAGGTTGGAATTTATGATAAAATTTCAGAATTAATTCTAATTAAATCAGATACCCTAAATTCTATTTATTGGACCAAATTTGTAATTACAAAAAAGATCGACCATTTCATTTTCCCTCTCGTAGTTCCCCGAAGAACTTTCTTCCCTGTATCTTCTTCTGTTCCTGCTCTCGCTTCCATCTTCTCCAAAAATCCAAACTAGACACCATTGTTGTTTCTCTGCCCTACATCAACCTCCATTGATTCCTCTAATTTTCTCAAAGAAAGAAGAGTTTCGAGGTCTGCTTTCAATGGAGTTTCAATTTGCCTTCGTAAGTTCTTGTTTGTTTGTTTGTTTTTGTTTTTGTTTTTTTTTTTTTTAAATTTTCTTACTGAATCCCTAAAATGTCGCATGTTTCCGTCCTGGTAGTTTATGAAACGAGAAAAAACTCGGAGTCCGAGTTTCATTTGGTGATGGAGATTTGAGAGCCGTGAGGTTGTCGGTTGGTTAGCGGCTACTACTTTCTTTAATGGAGAAGCGCGGTGGCGTCAGGGCGGAGATTGATACTTCGGCGCCGTTCGAGTCAGTGAAAGAGGCTGTCAGTAGGTTTGGTGGAAGCGGCTTTTGGAAACTCTCCAACAGTAATGATCACAGTCACAGCCATCTATCTGAACCTGAGGTTCTTTCCGCCCACCCTTCTCTCTTTCTCTCGCTCTCTTTTGTTGAATGTGGATTGTTTATTTTAGAATTTTCAGATTCTAGTTAAATGGACGATTTCGATAATTGCAGCTTGTTTTATAATTATCTCTGCAGTTTTTGGTATTGTTATAGGCAGTGAATGTTCTTGTTTTCTTGTAGTTGGTTTGTTTTTATTGTCTTTTGGAGGTACTAATTTGAGATGTTTAGATGCATATTGGCCAGTTTGTTGATAAGATAAAACTAGAGGTCTGATTTCAAGTTTTAGTTGTTTTCCATTTCAAATGATCGTGATATAGTCAATTTGTCATTGGCTCTTGACATGCTTTGTATCACAGTCATGCTTATCTGAGGCGTGTTGTTTGTGACTACATGTCAAATCCTTTGGTCATGCTTGTCTAGGACGTGTTGTCCATGGCCGCATGCCCGTTCCAAACCTCTTTTACTTGATTTCATGTATACTTAGGTCTTTAACCATTCTTGTAGTCGATACCGAGTGTATGACTATTCACCAAAATTATGGTTACACCCGCTAGGAGAAAAATGCCCAAAATATAATGTGACTGTTAGGAATCACGACCTCCACAATGGTACGATATTGTCCACTTTGAACCTAAGCTCTCATGGCTTTGCTTTTGGTTTTCCCAAAAGGCCTCATACCAATGGAAATAGTGTTTCTTGCTTATAAACCCATGATCATCCTCTAAATTAGCAAATATGGGACTCCCTCCCAACACTCCTCAACCGTGACTAGTCGTTAATCTTTCCTACCTGGGTTATATACTATCAAGGTTGTGGTTATTTTATTTGCTTTTAGAGACTTGATCATATGTCCGAATTGTCTATGACTTACGATTTCCATGTGGCTGACTTGTTTGCTGGGTTAGAACAAGTGTCGCACCATTGATGTCCCGTTGCCACAAGAGTGCGATTGTGACCTTGTACAATAGCAGCTAATATAGTTAAAACGATCAGAAATTTTGGATATTCAGTAGTGACTCTCTTTCCTGAAAATAACTAATGTCAAATTGGTTTATATTCTCTCTACTTTTTTCAAGGTAGCCCTACATCGACATCCAGTGCAGACTAATTTGAGAATTAAGTTTGTGCCATGTCCTCTGACCTGTTATGTCCTTTCTTTTTTTAATCTTTTCTTCATCATTAGCATGATAAGAACGAGATCGAGGTTGACGTTGCAATACTTGAAAAGAAGGCAATGGACATGGAGAGTGAATTGATTGTCAAAGAAAGGAAGATCCTGGAAGTCTTAAAAGAACTGGAAGCAAACAGGAGGAATGTAGAAGATTTGAAATTTAAGCTGCAGAAAGAAACAGCTGAAGTCAGCATGATTCGGGAAATGACGAGAGATGATATGAATGCAGCTTCTCCTAAAGAAGCAGATAAGGAAAACCATATGAATCTTGACAGCCGAGGTCGGAATGTGCAAGTTTCCCCTCCAGCACCTGGTGTAATTCTTAAGGAACTGGAACAGGCAAAGTTAAATCTTACCAGGACCACGAGCGATATTGCTGATATACGAGCTTCTGTTGAATCTTTTAACAGGAAACTAGAGAAAGAAAGAACTGGACTTGAGAAAACTCAAGAGAGGTTAGCCCAGAATTCGTCTAATATATTGGCGCTCGAGGAAGAGCTAAACCAAACAAAACTGAAGTTACAAGTGCTAAAAGATGCTGAGGCCAAAGGTTTTCCAGATAACCCTTTAGAGATGTCAAAGGAGCTGCAACAATTAAGTTATAAGGCAGAAAAGTTCAAGAAAACGAGGGAAGCGATTGGACTTGAAGTTTCAAGAAGAGAATCCGAGATTGAACGGAACAAGGCCGTGCTAAGAACAGCTCAAGTCAAATTGGTTGCTGCTAGAAAAATGAAGGAAGCTGCTAGAGCAGCAGAAGCTATTGCTCTATCTGAGATCATGATTTTGACAAAGCATAAGAATGCATCTAGTGATGTTTCACAAATTCATGGCAGTGAAAGTGTAACGCTTTCGTCGGAGGAATATTCTACTCTTACTCGTAAAGCCTGTGAAGCTAAAGAACGATGTACGAAGAGAGTTATCGACATCATGCAACAAGTTGATGCTGCAAACACGTTAAAAATGGAGATCTTGAATCAGGCAGAGAATGCTTCTGAAGAACTCGAAACAAGCAAACGGGCATTGGAAGCAGCTCTGAGCAGGGTGGATGCTGCCAATCAGGGAAAGCTAGCAGTCGAAGAAGCGCTTTGCAAATGGAGGTCGGAGCACGACCGTAACAGGCGTACCATTCAAAGCTCTACCAAGTTTAAGAATCCTTGCACTTCTCACTATAAAAAGGATTCTCGGCTACTTGACATAAATGGAGTGAATATGGTCAGTGATGGACCAACGCCTGTTTTGAAGCCAACCCTTTCGATAGGGCAGATACTAAGCAGGAAGCTTCTACCTCCGGAACAATTTGAATCGGTCACGCTACCGGAGAAAAGCTCGGTTGGAAGAAAGATGTCACTTGGTCAGATGCTCAGCAAACAAAATGATGAGGTATCCTTAATAAAGATGGCTGAAAAAGATGGTAGCCAGAAGCTGAGTTTTGGAAGAAGAAAGAAGTCGGGATTCGCTCGGTTTACTCTGCTGTTGGCGAAACGAAACAAGAAGAAGAAGAAGAAACCTGCAGTGTTTAGGAAATAACCTGTTACTGTTAGCTTAGTTTTAACTTTGATCTCTTTATCATTCATATTATAGGCTGGCTTCTTAGTGCTTTCTTTTGTATCTTCCCTCCTTTTGTTAGAATCTTTACTTTAGGATGATGGTTATATTTTGCATAGTTTCTAGATTGGCTTTGCCTTATATATGTGTTTTTACCTCTTGTTCTTGATCTGCCAGGGTGTATAAATGCTCGCAGGATTCAAACTATGCCTCGAACAGAGTGTTTGCACTCTGTTTAAACAGAGGATGAGGAAGGATTCAAGAGGATTTTTTTTTTCAGGTAAGTTAAATGGGCCAGCGATGGGGATACCCGCCCTGTCTTGGCTCGTCTCGCCTCACATGTATAATAACTCTGAAGAGCCTAATCCTTGTGGAAAATCTCGACTTTGATCCCCACAAAAATAAATGGAGAATTTTGTAAGGATGAGTTTGAAATAAGAGGTGGAGACAGAGATGGAAAAATCTTCTCTGTCCTTGCTCCAACTCATAAACCTTTCTAGGCTTTATAGTTCTAACCCTTCTAACTCGGTTGAGATTGAATTTAGGTTTATGAACTTTATACTGTTGTGCGCCGAAAGCGGAACAAATGTACTCACAACACCAATGAACGAAATTACACAAAGAGACACTAAGATATTTACGTAGTTCGGAGAGAAGAAGTTCTCTTACATCCATGGTTAGCAACCAATCACTAATAAACAAAATGTTCCAAGTGAATACCTCACTATTACAATACAAAGACTCTCACCAATATGTCACTCAACAAAATAGGATGTGACACCCAAAACTCTCCCAAATCCCGATATCAAATTCTGATATATAACTAAACCTTGGTATGAAAACCAAATCAAATCTAATCTAAAAACCAAATCAAATTTAATCCAAATAACCAAATCAAATCGTTTTTTAAATAAGAGGTGGAGACAAAGATCGAAAAATCTTCTCCGTCCTTGCTCCAACTCATAAACCTTTCTAGCTTTTATAGTTCTAACCCTTTTAATTCCGTTGAGATTGTATTTAGGTTTATGAACTTTATACAAAATAGAATCTTTTATGCCCCTAAGGCTTATCCTTCCATTTGAAGGAGTGGTTGTGGAAGGTTTCTCCATTGTGGCAACCATATTGAGTAGAGTAAAAGACATAACTTGCTCTCAACAAATGAAAGGATTTGTTGACTCGTTTCCGTTTTGAATTGAGAGAGACATCTCGAACCAAATATGTGTATGAAAGATACTTAAAAAGGTTCTTTTCGAAAATTAAAGTTTTTTTTTTCATTTTTGAGAGATTCAAGAACATGGAAGGATCGAGAATTTGAACCACTTCCATAATTGCACCGACTAAGGCAAAAAATTGTGATCGATCCTTAAAAAAACATATTATTCTTTCCGTATATCCTTAGTTTTTTTAGATTATATATAAAGAAAAATGAAATGAGCGTGTAACATGAAATATTAAATTTATCAATTTTCTTTAATTTTTTAGTTTAATAATAAAGTTAATTTTGAAAAATTTCACTTTTAAAAACCAAAATTGGAATATATTTAATTCACTAAATAAAAAACATATTCTAAGCATCAAATTAAAATAATCCACTTCACATTAAGATTATAAATAACACTTCACTTTTAATTTTGAAATTTGGGTGAGAATTCAAACATTTTCTTAAATTCATCCATTATAAAATAATTTTAAAAAGTTAAAAATTAAAACAAAATTGATAAAATTACCTTATAAATTATAAATAACTGATAAAATTTTAAAGAAAAATGATATTAATATTAAAAAAAATTATAATTTGAGAGTTTTTATTAAAATCATTCCCGAATTAATTTGTGGATTAATAGAAGTTTTGCGAAAATTAGTGGAGGAAAATTAAGGTGAAAATTGATAATAATTAATAACTCCAAAATTTATGGATAAGCATTGAAAAATTCCATTTAATTAATATTTAAGTTCCAACCCAATAGGACGGGAACAAGTTCCATCTTCTCTTTCGTACGCCCACCGAAGAACGAAACCAGAGCCTGGCTGTCTGAGCCTCTCATCGAAGGTCTGTATTTCTCTGCAATCTGAATTCGATTCTGTTTCCAATCCTCAATTCTTAATCCTGCGTGCTGAGAAACCGCGGGAAGGAGAATTAACGATCATCCATGGTTCAATTTTCCGAGAATCGTTATCTTTTTCCTTCGTTTTCTTGGTTGCCAAATTGATGTTCTAGGGTTCTTTTCTATCCTTACCTTCTTTGCTTCTCTTCAATTTTTCCTCTGTTGTTTGTTCTATTTGTGATCTGTTCTTATTTCATTGACGTCTGTAATATGCAAATATCTTGTAGTTTTTATCCTCGTTGTTCGTTGGTAGAGTCCTTGCTGTGGTTGGATTAAAATTCTTGACTGAATCGATAAACGTTGACTTAAAAAAGATCGCCGTATAGTTATAGTACGTTTCCCCCTTCCATTTCTCGGTTGATTTTTCGTTGTCTTTTACAGGCATCAGGTGCAATGGATTTGAGATTTGGACTTGTTTTCCTTCTTGTAGTGGGTGCTGCTTGGAATTGTGATGCTAGAAAATTGGCATCATCTGGTAATTCTTTATTGCTTACCTTCTTCCTACCAAATTGGCAATTTGATCAACGTTTCTGGTTGTTGTTTAGAATTTACGTAAGTGTCTTGCTTCAGTTTCGGCTCTAATCTTTTAGAAACTTCAATTTCATCGCATCAAGTCCTCATCGTCACTAATGCTTAAAAGAAAATTGTTGTGCAACATAAGGAAAATAAAGGATATTTTTGTTACGATGTCTGATGGATCCTAACCCTATTTGATTGAAGAAAAATAATTACATTAAAGATGAAATTGAAAAATGGTTGAAATGTTAGAGACTCAATGTTTCTGATTATGTATCCTGATTTTCGGTCCTTTCCCTATTACTTGTCTTAAAGCTTCCAACAAATTCAAGTGTTGTGTGAAGATGATTTTTATTTAATTTTGAAAAGGCATTCAATCTTCTGATTTGAATGATATTTTATCTTATCAGAGAAATTACAATTTCTGCCTTCTCAGATCATGTGTCAAGCTACCTGGAGCTAGAGAAGGACGTGGAGGCTTCATCTGAAGCTTCCAGCAATCCCAAGATATGTAAACTTTGTGAGAGCTTGGTCAGTCAGGCAGTTGAATACCTTGCAGATAACAATACCCAAAATGAGATTACTGGTATTCTCCAGCAAACGTGCGCTGTATTGGGCGTGTTCAAGGAGGAGGTATGACAGCTTAAGTGTCCCTATACAACTTTTTTATTTCATGAATCTGTATGAGTGTGCTTTTGAAACAATATGTAACTGTCTGAAATGAAGGAAAATAACTATAGACTTTGCTGTTGTTAATATTATGTTTATCTTTGTTTCAACTTTCAGTGCGTCAGTTTGGTGGACAACTATGTTCCTCTCTTCTTCTCAGAGATTTCCTCAATTGAGCCTTCTAGCATCTGCCAATCAGCCCGCATCTGTGAGCAAGTTACTATAATCTCCTCGCAGATTCAGGATAATAGCTGTGGATTCTGTCAAGAGACTATTTCAAAAATATTGGATAAGTTGAAAGATCCCGACACACAGGTTCATATTACACTCTGCTAGTTATGCTTATAATGAATTTCTAATTATGGAACAATTATATCGAGGAAATAAAATTTACATAGACAGGGAAAGGCAATATAGATGGAGATGATCTGCAAATTGTAAATAATAATTGTAATATGGATTTGGGTGGGTGAATTAACGAAATTCATGCAAGTAGGAGGAATCTGAAAACTAAGATGGATGAGATGATATCAGAAGAAATATAGTATGGTCAGTATGAAATGGAATGATTGAGAGTTCGAGAATGGTGAAGCAGGATAATTTTGGTGCAATCCTTTGCCATTTTGAGAGGTTGAGCTAGGATGTTGGGCCTTGTGTGGTCTGTATGGAGAATATTGCTTTCTTGCCAAACTGTTGGGCAGATCTTTTGTCAGGATGACTATTTTGGGAATATCTGTTGATTGGAAGGTCGCAGGAATACGTATGTGTATTTTTTGATTGTGTCAAAACTTACCACAAATTCTGTAGTTGTTAAGAAGCATGTAAATCTCTCTCGAGGACGGTAGTTTCTTAGAAAATTCTTATGTTCGTGAACGTATTGCATTTTCTTGAATATGAAATAAACTTTATCATTTAATGTGGACGTGTATTGAACCTTCCTTCTGAGCATATGGCTTATTTTCTTTTGTGTGTATCAGATAGAGATACTCCAGACGCTTCTGAATATGTGCGACTCCTTGGGGTATCGTGTGAAACAGGTACGAAAAACTTGGATATCAATGCTTTTAGTTACCTGTCCACATATTTTCTGATTTCGTTGTTCGTGAATAGTGAAAAGAAAACATGATTCATATCCCCTTGTCGATTCTTCATCTTTATTTCTTTCCATTCCTGAAGTCTGTCTAAAACAATTAGTCTCTCTTTCACCTCTTAATATATCCAAAATGTAACTAGCTGAGGTTGACCAAGTGATCTATCCTTTCTATAATATCCAGTCTTGGGTGACTGTTTTCTGCCAACTTCTTCTCTTATGTTGCTTTAGGATAGCGCCTTACATTAAGTTAATGACCACCCTCAGTAATCTTTTGGGCGGTGTTCAATATGTTATTCTGATATCGTGACATTTTCCATCATGAGCAGTGCAAGAAATTAGTGTTTGAATATGGGCCTCTGATCCTTGCCAATTCGGAGAAAGTTCTAGAACAAACAAATATTTGCAAAGCAATACATGCTTGTCCAGCAGTAGCTGGTGGTGACAACACCACATCATCTGTTGGAACTGTGTCTTCGCTCGCCGACGCTTGAATGCACACACAATCACGAGGGAGGGATCTACACGTCGTGTCTGAATGAAAATGGGTAAGAAAAATTACATCTTCCTTGCCTTTCTCTGTCTGTTTATGAATCTAATATGATACAATCCTTGTCCGTGGATGGTCTGTGTAATGTACATGATTTACATTGATATGTGGATATATATGTGATTGGCTATTGCTATTTCGAGCCGATTGTTAGTATTAAGGAACTTGGAATTGTCCATTTCAGTCCGCTGTAGCTACTCAATTTGAATTG